CACAATGTAACCTTGCTCCTCAGTTTTCTCATCTCTAAAATGGGAGCGAAAAGTTACTTCATTTCCACAACAAATGCTGCGATCCACTGCTGTGTGCTGGCTCTGCTGCAGGTGCTGAGGTGGGGCTGTGGCCGAGGTGGTCCAGCTCAGAGGCTCACGGCATGCTCACAGTGACCCTCATGACTTAGCCACAGGAAGGTTTGTAATGACGCCAGTTGCGAGTCGGCCGCCTCTAAGTGGTCACTACCCACCAGGCACATGTGACCAGAGTGGTGTCGCTGAAACAGCAGCCTAGGAGGGGTGCAGGCAGTTCGGCCTCGGCTCAGTGCCTACTGCACAGCATGGCTGCCGAGCTGCCTGCGCCCAGGCGTTGGGGGTGCCCATGCTCAGGAGCCACAGGCTCTGAAGTCAGCCAGGCCCAGTTCAGATCCTGAACTCTCTCACTGCATGAGAAATTGTTCTGTTTGGGCCTCAGTTTCCACATCTGTAGGCGGGGCCTGTCACAGTGAGTCAAGTGTGCATCGAGGTTAGGCACGCATAGTGCTCAGCACGGGAACTCCTCTCCAGTGTGGCCGCTTTTACACTGGAGGTTGAGTCTGGAAGGGACAGTCACGGGAGCCACAAGCCTTTTGGAAGGGGGACCCTGGGCAAAGGCCGCAGGCTGGGGCACCCTGGCAGGCTGGCCACCGGCGACAGAGATCTGTGGGGGCCTGGCTATGGCCTCACCCCCAGCGGCACCCGCCTTGTGTGCAGGAAATCGGGCGCATCTCCATCGAGATGAACGGGACCCTGGAGGACCAGCTGAACCACCTGAAGCAGTACGAGCGCAGCATTGTGGACTACAAGCCGAACCTGGACCTCCTGGAGCAGCAGCACCAGCTCATCCAGGAGGCCCTCATCTTCGACAACAAGCACACCAACTATACCATGGAGGTGCGCTGTGCCCTGTCAGGTGCTCCACACCCCGCTTTCCCGGGCCCTGGCATGGGAGAGCCCTGTGCAGCCCGCCCAGTCGGAGCGTCTGCTGCTTCCTCTCTCCCCTACTCCAACCGAAAATACTAGATCAGAACGTTTGCACATTTTTAAAAATCACTGTTTCCTTCACACTGTGCTCCCCTCACTATGCCAACACATCTCAGGACAAGCTTTGAGAGAGCCATGGGTGGGGGATGGCAGCGCCTGCCCTCGCTGTGGCCTCGCAGTTGGTTCTCGCTCAAGGGCGCAGACCCAGCCAGTGTGTGCTGGTGTCCGCACTACACTGTCGGGGCCAGTTGTCATCACATTGGTAGCTTGGCATCAACCACAGTGACAGTATTTACAGCATGCACACCAAGACGCCACAACAAGGGGGGCAGTGTTTCTTCTCAGAAAGCCAGTTACACATTGCCCAGCACACCTCTGCAAAGTTTCCACGTGGACGCTGCACAGGTTTTAGGCCCTGGCCCTCCGCCACGTCTGTCGTCAGACACATGCTAAGGTGACATGAACCCTGCTGGTGGGCAGAGACAGCAGGCGGGCGCCGTGCTTGTGCTACTGTGTGCAGGTGAGGTGCACAAGGGAGTTTGGCCTGGGCTGGCATTTGGGAGAAAGTTAGGGTGAGCCTCACTCCAGGCCACGCCTCCTCCATGTGGGGAGACCCCAGTTCCAAGACCCCCTCAGGTGCAGCTGTGGGGGTCCAAGCACTCCCGCCAGCCCCGCCTGCGCTCATGCCATCTCTCCCCCCCAGCACATTCGCGTGGGCTGGGAGCAGCTGCTGACCACCATCGCCCGCACCATCAATGAGGTTGAGAACCAGATCCTCACCCGCGATGCCAAGGGCATCAGCCAGGAGCAGATGCAGGAGTTCCGGGCCTCCTTCAACCACTTTGACAAGGTTAGCGACTCCCTCTGCCCTTCGACATCTCTCTCTGCTGTCACCATCGTCGCTGTCCCGTTTTGCCCCCTCCGTCTTTGCATCTGTCAGTTCGTTCACATCACAGTTGCTGTGTGTCAGCCACCACTCACGGGTTGGCGGGGCCTTGGCCATGGAAGGAGGTGCAGACGTGTATCACCTTGACCCACAGCATAAAGTTTCCCTTGGGAGGAGAAAGGGGTTCCCCAGCCCTGCTTCCAGCTGTGCATCCTCACCAGCCTGCCCGTGAGACCCTGGGACAGACTAAGCACCCGCACACCCAACGGTGGAGACCTGGCCCGTGAATCTGGTCCACGCATACACGTAGTGTTCTTAAAGTTCAGATTTGCCTTGGCAGCCACTTTGGAAGGGCCTCAGTGCCAGCGTTTCCCCCGGTCCTCATCCACTGCAGGGCCTGATACATCATCTGCCCTCTTCCTGTGGGTAGGAGGGTGCAGCCTCAGCCCTGCACCCTCAAGCAGGGACCCTGACGTTGGGAGCAGGGTGGCATACAATCCCTCTCTTCCCATCCCCGACCCTGGAAGCGAGGTGTGCTCTCCTCTTCCTCAGAGAGCTGGGACTCAATTTTAAAGTCTGCACCATTCAGCTCCCACCCCTGCTCTAACCCACAGGAGGTGGGAGGAGGCCTCTGGCTGCCCTCCAGGCCACTCACCCTTCCACCCGCCCCAGCCATCCCCGGCCATCACCTTGTTCCCATCACCTCTAACTCTGTGTTTCCCTCCTTCATGTGTTCCCCTCCCCTCGCCCTCTGCATGTAACCCTGGCCCTTCTCCCTGCCTCTGCGCTGCCTGGTTTCCACGTTGCCCCTTGCACACCTGCCTTTGGACACCCGGCAGGACCACGGCGGGGCGCTGGGGCCAGAGGAGTTCAAGGCCTGCCTCATCAGCCTGGGCTACGATGTGGAGAATGACCGGCAGGTACGCGTCCCCTGGGCCCCAGAGAACCACGGCATTAACTGCTCTTCTCTCTCTCCCTCTCTCCTCCTCTCTGTCTCCCCACCCTCGCCATTCCACCCCCTGCCACTGTGTGTGCCATCCCACTGGCTCTCTTGCCTCCTTCCTACCCATGTCTCTCTGGACCCTTTCCCCTTACCTGGTCTCTCGGGGCCGCCTCTGTCGCCCCCGCTCCTGCCACTGTCCTGTTTCCCTGCTGTGCGCACGGGGTGGCCCCTTTGCCTACTCTGGGCCTGGCCTCCTGCTGTCCCTGCGTCCTCGAGCAGAAACAGACAGGCAGCATGGACACCGATGACTTCAGGGCTCTGCTTATCTCCACAGGATACAGCCTGGTATGCAGCCTCTGCCTCCCTCGCTGCTGTGCCACTCCCCCTGCCCCTGCCCCTCCTCTTCTCCCTCCTCCCCCGTCCTTCTCCCCTCCTCCTCCTTTTCGTGCTAACCCCCATCCAGAGTTTCCAAGTCCTCGGGGACACCCCTCCACCAAATCAGTGCAGCCTCACCCCCCTCCTCCTGCTGCATCTGCTGGGCTGGGGTCGCTCCGATGACTTCCTGAGCCTCCCATCCCCTTTCCTGGAAGTTTGCAGAGAGAGGATGTCAGGCTTCTGGCTCTCTCCCTTTTCTTTCTCTTCTCTCTTTCTTCCCTACCCTCCAGAGCTAACTTGTGAGCCTAGGGCTGAGGAGCAGCAGACCTGTTTGATGTATACCCCACTCCCCACTTCCCAGAAACGTGGGAGGGGAGGAGTGGAGGGCACCTGCCCCTACCTGGGGCACATGGGCTGTTACCTGGGGAGCCAACACCGTTGGAGGCAGGCTGATGACCTGGCATGTGCGCTGGGCTCGGCCCCGCCCTCCTAGCTCGGTTCTGCTGCACCGGCCCAGCCATCCTGCCGGCTCACGTGCTCCTGTCCCCTGCCCCACTCCTGCCTTTCAGGGCGATGCAGAGTTCAACCGCATCATGAGCGTGGTTGACCCCAACCACAGTGGCCTCGTGACCTTCCAAGCCTTCATCGACTTCATGTCCAGGGAAACCACCGATACAGACACAGCCGACCAGGTCATTGCCTCCTTCAAGGTCCTGGCCGGGGACAAGGTAAGCCAGACACCTCTGAGCTCCTGGGGCGGGCAGGGCAGGCCTCTGCATCCAGGACTGGCATGAAGGGCTGCGGGGGCCGCTGTGGGCTGCAGGTTGCACTAAGTCCCACCCTGCCACCCCCAGAACTTCATCACAGCCGAGGAGCTGAGGAGAGAGCTGCCCCCTGACCAGGCTGAGTACTGCATCGCCCGCATGGCCCCGTACCAGGGCCCTGATGCGGTGCCTGGTGCCCTTGACTACAAGTCCTTCTCTACAGCGCTATATGGCGAAAGCGACCTGTGAGGCCCCCACGGACCTCAACACCCCATCCGAGCACCCCATCCTCACAGCCTCCAGGAGGGGCTGGGGGAGCCCCTGTCCCTGCTGCAGGACCTCCTTGGTCCTGTTCCTCTGACTCTGTATCTATGCAAAGCACTCTGTGGGTCCTTTCTGGGGGGCGGTGGGTGGGCAGGGAGGGGCTGGGGCAGGTTCTCTCCTCTCTCTTTGTCAGTTGGCCAGGAGGTTCTCTCCCCCTCCCCCTGGATAGGGGTGCAGGAGACTCTGGGGCCAGCACTTCTGGTCTGGTAAATATATATGATGTTTGTTTGTTTTTTGTAAACTGTGTAGAGGGTACAGTGGATCCCACAGCAAAACAGGTCCCCTGTGAGTCCTAGGAATACCTGCCACATCCTGCCCCTTCCTTTGCTCCTGAGGTCCCTTCAAGGCCTCCCACATCCAGGCCAAAGCCCTACGTGGCCCTATGTGCCTTGTCCAGGAACTGCTCATGCCTGCGATGGGCCCAGCAGAGGGCGCCACAGCTACCCAATAGGAAAGAGGACCCCACCCTGCTCGCTTCACCCCTCTCCCCTTCTCTGCGATTGCTGGGTGGGGGTGGGGCTTTGTGGCGTTCAGCCCCCCACCCCCCCCCCCCTGCCCCCTTCTGCAGCAGAGGAGTGGGATGAAGCAGACCCGCCCTCTGCCCCCGCCCCAGTCAGCTCCCACCTTGCTTGGTCTGGACCTCCGTCTCAGATTTTCTAAGGGCCAAACCAAAAGAGCAAAACAAAACAAAAATCACAAAAAAAGCTATAAAAAATTTAAAATCTTCAGAGAATTACTATTTACTTTATTAACTTACGGATTTATTATATAAATATATATTCACCTAGCAACAACACGTCTCTGCCGCCTCTTACTCTCTTAATGAAGACATCGCTGACTTGCCCCGCCCCCTGTCCCTGACTGGTTTCTTTCCGTTGTCTGTCATAGGGCGTGGGCTCTGGGGACCCTCCTGAGGTGGAGGGTGGGCTGCTGGCCTGGCTACCTGTTAGTTGATGGTTTTGTTCCTCCCCGCCCCCCACTCCCCTTTTCTTTTGGTTTATTCTGATTGATAATTTTTTTTCTCGGTTTCTGGATAAACCACCCTTCTGGGGACAGGATAATAAAACATGTAATATTTTTAAGGAGTCTACAGTGTCCTCTTTCTCCTATCTCCATTCTCCACTTTCTAGCAGAGCTGTGACAGACCACCTCTTCCCGGAGAAGGCGGGCTTGGGGGGGACCCAGTCCTGTTCGAGGTGTGCAGCGCTGACTAACGTGTGTCGCCTGGCCAAGCAGGGGCGGAGAGCAGAGCACAGATGCGCTGTGACTTGCCCAGCGTCACCCAGCCGGGGAACTGTGGGACCAGAAATTAACTCCAGGCAGGCAGCTCCCGAGGCCACTCTTGAGCCACCGCCCAACGTCAGCATCAGCCCCCATGCCAGGCAGGGAGGTGCAGGGTGGCCGGAGGCTGGTGTTGCTGGGAGCCCCGCTGCTGTGGGGTGAATGAGCCTGGTCCAGGCTGACAGAGGGGAGACCGGGGCTCCCAGCAGCTCCAGCGACACGTGTTCCTGTGCCAAATCCTAGGAGAAGGTGGCCACCTCCATCCACTGGGCGAAGGAAGACAAACAGGCTTGAGGAGGGGGTCTCCTGGGACGGCTGCCTGCGCCCCCTTCCCCGTCTGTCCAGCCTGGGCTCACCTGTCTGCGGGTCAGGCACACGACCCCCTCGCCCCCATCCAGGTGCCTGCTGCAGTGGCCTGCGCAGAGAGGGGCGGGTGAGCACCACCACCCCAGTCCCCCTGCCATGGGCGGCATCCTCCCCAAGTCCCGCCCGTGCCAGGGTGGCACTTACGGAAGATGCAGGTCAGCTGAGCCACGCAGGACACAAAGCGCTCGAAGTCCACACGCAGGCGGCTGTCCCGGTAGCGGCTGGTGAGGGCCTGGGTCAGCTGGTTGTTGAGGTGGAAACCTAGGAAGAGCCCCCCCTCAGTGTGGCGCCCACCCTGACTCCATGGGGAGACAGTGACACCACAGGAGCTTGTCCCCACCTCCTCCACCCCAGCTCTGCTCCAGCCCAGCTGTGTGTGGCTGCAGGCCCCGGTCTCCTCATCTGGCAGTGGGGGCTGTAGCAGCCCGGACCCCAGAGGGCCATGTGAAGAAGGCTTGGGACAGTGTCGTGTAGCAGCTGTGTCAGTGTTACTCCTGGAAACCACAGGGTTTCTGCTAGTGGCCCCGGGGAACATTTCTGTTCAAAACACTCTTGTCCCATATGGAGTCAGTTTATACTCCACAGCAGGGGTGATTTTTAAAGTTCAGAAAACATCTCTAATGAGGAATTTAAACAGACTTCTCAGAGCTGCAAACGTTGGTGCTTCCGTGTCGCAGACAACCCTGTGGGACTGGAGGTTGCGGGGTGACTCCTGGTCCCACAGGGCCAGGTAAACAGTTTGAGGATAATTTCATGGGCCTTTGCTGCCTCGTAAATCCCATTTTCTCCCCACTCTGCATTCATGTAATTAACATCCAGTGCCATCACATTTCTGTGCTCAGAAGTCGGGTTGGGGGGCCTGCAGCCTCATCCGGACGGACAGGTGTGAGCTCTGGCCTTCATCTTCCCTCAGGGTGGGGCTGGGGGTCAGGAGGGGGGCTTCTGTGCCAGAGCCACAGGACATCTGTGCGTGCGCACACGCACGAGAGTACGGGAGAAGGGGTTGCCGAGAGCCCCTCAGCTGCCCCTCTGGAATTCCTGTTTTCTTCATGGAGACTGTCAGCTTCCTCTGACCACTTTTGTGGGCTCTATGGCCTGCAGTGCCTGGTGTCTGGCATCCTGCCCAGGGTCCCCGGTACCAGTGAAGTCCTTCACCTAATTTACTGGGCCCTAGTGACCATGACCTACCTCCTGGTTACTCCTCCCCACGGCCCCAGTGGCCCGCACAGACTGCACCTCACCTCCCACTCCTCCCCCTCCTCCACTTGGACCTTGGGCCTCCTGCCTCCGTTGCTCGTGCTGTTCCCTCTGCCCAGAATAGCAGCTTCAAGCTTCTCCTCTTGGCTCCCACAGTGCTCTGGGCCTTCCCCACCCCAACAATGGCCATTCTGCGCTGTCACTGTCATTGGTAGCTCAGGCCACTCCCAGACTGAAGCTGTGGGGGCTCAAGAAAGGGTTTCTAGTCCCCAAGTTCAGCCAGCGCAGGGCCTTGAGCAGCGCAGGTGTTCGGGGAGTGGCTGTGGAGCCGAAAATGTGCTGGATCGGCGCAGGTGGCTTCTCCCGCCAGTCCCCCACCCTGAGACAGCACACCTGTTCTGGGGCCTTGGCACTTGCTTCCCCCGCACTCCCTCCTCCAGACAGCTGTCACTCCAGCCTCGCACACCCTGACCCTGGACTTGCTTCTCTCTCTTATACATATTTAAAATTTTTTAAAGAATCAAGGTCCTTACGACACCTCATAAGGCTCTCTTGTCTCCCCCACCACCATCACCAATCTTTCCTCTGACCACCTCCTCCCCACTTGGCTTCAGCCACACGGGCCCTCTGTCCTCAGCTCCATCACAGGGCGCCGCCTCCACTCCGCTCGCTCTGCACCAGCCTCCTCGGGTGCAGGCGCACACCTCAGGGCCTTGGCACTGGCCGTTCCCTCTGTCTGGAGCACTCCTGGCCCGGTGTCCCCAAGGCTCACTCCTCCGGTCTCTGCTCAAACCCCAGCAAGGCCTTCCCTGACGGCCCTGTCTCACCCACCCCACCCCTGCATGCCCAGCACCCTCGCCTGTTTTCTTCCTTTGCCCTAGCGCTGCTCGCCACCTGACCTTGACCTTGTTCTGTTTGTACTTGGTACCTCCCAGAAGGGCAGTCCTTCAGGAGCACTCGATCAGTTTTCTTCCGTCCAGAACACCAGGCACGTATCAGGCGCTCAGAGATGATGAATGAACGCTACACAGTTGCATCGTGCCCTTCTCTCTTGCCTCTGCTTCTGTCTGTCCGGGGCCCCGTTTCTCACAGTCCCACGTCTCCCCATCTTCTGACTCCATCCCTCGTTCTCTGTCTCGGGCTCCTTTCTTTACACGCAGGTCCCTGGATCTTCACCCTCCCCGTGTCTCACCAGTCACTTCCCTTGGGGTAAGTGGGTGGGGATCTGGGGGTTCCTGTCATTCTCCCCCAGCCCCACCACATAAGGAGGAAGGTTGCATTCTTGCTTCCCCGTGTCAGAGGGAAACGGAGGCTCAAGGAGGTGGACTCATGCCCAGGGCCCCCAAGGAGTGAGTCAGCAGTTAGGGCTCCAGCCCAAGCTCAGGAATTCAGGACAGTGCCACAGTGCCCTGGAGACCAGGGCCAGCTCCCAGAGGCCAGCTCCCACGCCCGCCCCAGCCCACCCCCTCTCGCACCCTCCCTTTCTCACACACAGCTCTGCCCTCAGCCTCAGGGCCACACAGTCCCTGCTGAGAGCTGGCAACGAGCTAGGGTGTCAGCTTCCTGGAGCTCAGCAGCTGAGTGGGCTGCTGGGACTCGAAGAGGCCGGGGCCAGGATGGGGAGCTGATCCTGTCCCCATGACCCACTCCAGGCCCTCTGTCCATACCTGCAGCGTTCAGCGCCAGCCTCAGCTCATGGGAGTTCATGGTTCCAGAGGCGTCCTGGTCAAACTTGTCGAATATGGCCTGGATGGGGAGGAATAGGTCAGTCCCGCCCCCAGGCACCTGAAGAAGGCTCAAAGGGGGCCTCGGTGACCAGACAGCCTGGGTTCCCACCCCAGCTCCCTTCCTTCCTGGCTTCATGCCCTGGGGAAGCAGCTCCACCACTTTGGACCTCTGTTTCCCAGTCTGTAAAATGGGCTCAGTAGTAACAGCATTACCTAGGTGCTTTGTGGTGTGGACATGTTAAGACGACCCACAAGGGGCCTAGTGAGAGCTCAGTAAATAGTGCCCTATCACCATTCTTAGTCTAGAGGGGCCTGAGACCATTTTCTTCTCAACATGGGTTTCGGGGTGGGGGCAGGGGGAGGACCACCACCTCCCATTGCTAGATGAGTGGAGTTCTGCATGGGAAGTTACTAGCCTGAGATCACAGCCAGAAAGGGGCTGAGCTGGGAGCCTGTGCTGAGCTGGTCAGTGCACCTTACCTGCCACTTTCGGAGATGTCCCCAGAGCTCCTGGAGGTGGTGCAGGGCCAGGCTGCACCCGTGCTGGAGACAGGACATCTGGTTAAAGTCAGTGTCCCCAGAAGGGGAGCAGAGGCCCCAATATCCCCACCTCCCCACCCAGGCACGGCCCCGTCACACACCCCGAAACACTGCAGCAGCTGCTCACAGGTCCGAAGCCCAATCTCTCTGGGAATCCAGGTGTGGGCCCTGGCTACAGGAAACAGAGACCCTGAACTTCCTGTGGACGGGCTGTCCTCGTGCGCCCTGGGGATGACTGCATCCCGTTTCACAGAAACGGAGGCACAGAGAGCCAAGGACTGCCGGCAGCGAACAGGGCTGAGATTCGAGCCCAGGCGAGGGGGGCGCTCTGAATGCCGGTAGCAGCCACACTTCCCGCCTCTCGCTTAGAGCAGGGGGGCTTATGAGCGGCTACGACCCTGGCCATCGGTCCTGCCACAGGACCCACGTGTGAGGAAACACCCTCAGGCTGAGCCCAGGGCTCCTGTGGCCTGGTTCCCAGCACAGCATGGATTCATGGACGTGGCTGCCCCCACCCCGGCCCCACGAGGCCCACTCCGGTCACCAACGCACCAGGCTCCAGGGCGATGCTTAGTAAGGTCTGGAGCTGAGGGGCACTGAGCTCTTCCTCCTGGTCAGGGAGAGAGCAGGCTGTGAGGGCGGTCAGAGAGGAGCCCTGGGCCCAGCCCAGACAGCGTGCTGGGCAGTGCTGGGGACACAGCAAAGACTGAGGGAGCCCAAGCCTGCCCTCTGGTCCCCGTGGGGTCCCTGGAAGGGGGTCAGGGCTGCAACAGAGAAGCCCGGGGTCATGGGATCCCATAGCAGACATGTAGCTGACCAACCCTGGGAGTGTCAGGAGAGCCTTCAGACAAGGGCACAGGGGAAACATGAGGCCTAGTCTGGGCAGGGGGCGGGGATGGCGGGAGAGAACTCGCAGGCACAGGCCTCGGTGGGAGAGAGCTGTGAGCATTCTGAGAGAAGGAGGTCACAGGTGAGCACAGCCAGGGGGAACATTAGACATTCGGGGTAGGGAGATGTTCTCGGGGAGGGGCGGCACCCCCTTGGCCCATCCCCCTCCTCACCTCTCCTGCCAGCTCCTGAAACAACTGCTCCAACCCCAGCTCCAGAGGGATGTTGGGGCCCTGCCGGGTGGGAGGGGTTTAGTGGTGGCCCAGAGGGCCCCACCCCCACCCCACCCCGTCGTACCGCGTCCCGGAGCAGCCCCTCACCGTGAGAGCGTGCAGATCGGCGCTGATCACGTCGTCGATCTCCCTGCAAATTACAGACCGAAAGTGGGGGAGGGGGCTGCTCACCCTGCGCCTGGGGCTTCGGGGGACAGGGTCACAGCAGGGAAACTGGGTGGGGTCTAGGCAGGATGCCGGGACCCTGGGCTGACCCTCCCGGGCTGTGGCTTCCGAAGGCGGGTCAGCACCGCCCCCCACCCTTAGGGCATTGGGTCTGGGGGTCCCGAGGGCGGGTCTGGGGGCCCGGGCTCACACGGCGGTGTGGCGGCGCTCGGAGAAGACACGCAGTGTGAAGTCGGCCTCGTCGCCGGCACGGGCGGTGCTGGGCACCACGAGGTAGTGGCCCGGGCACAAGCGGCAGCGGCGGCTCACGTCGCGACGGGCGCAGAAGCGTGAGCGCTCCGCGCACAACAGGCCCCGCAGGTGCTCGCGACTGTGCGGGGAGTCCCAGAGGCCCAGCAACTGGGGGGCGGGCACGGCGTGACCATGACCGCCCAAGTTCACCCCACCCGGCCCTCCGCATAATGCGTCCCTCCAGACCGCCCCTACAAACCCGCTGGATCACCCATCACGCCAAGCACGCCCCAGGCCATCCCTGCCCCACTGCAGGTTGTCAGAGGCCCTGAGGCTGGTTCCAGGATAGAGTCTGGGATCTGGGGTCCCATCGGAGACCCACCTGCTCGGGGATCTGTAAGAAGGAAGACCAAGGGGAGTGGGGGAGGGACTCGCAGAGCCTCAAGGTTCCTTCCCTGCCTGCCCACACCCCTCCCTCTTCTGATTCCACCCTCATTAAGCCCCTGGCCCGCAGTCCCTGTCCAGGCCCCTCTCTCTGACCCCTCTTGGACCCCTTCCTCTCATCTGTGCTTTCTCTGCTCCTCGTCCCTTCCCTGATCCTCAGCCCCCCACCCCTTTTTCTAACTCTTCCCGACCCTTTCTGACCCCAGCCTCTCTGTGGCCCCCTAGACCTTGGTCTCTCCCTGACCCCCTCTGATTCCCTGGACGTTAGCCAGAGCCCAACCCCCGCCCCCTGCGCCTGCCCTCAGCCTCTCCAGCTCCTCTCCGCCTTCTGGGATGCCCCCAGGGCTCCCTGAGCCTCCAGGCCTCCCCGCTCCCTGTCACCTCCTCAGCCTGGAGCCCCCTCAGCCCGGAGCCCCACCTGGAACACGTGGAAGCCCACAGTGAGGTACGTGAGGCCCTGGGCCCACAGGCTCCGCCGATTGCGCTGGATGAGTGACAGGAGGACGGTGCACTTGGGGACTCGGCCCCCTCTGGTGGAGCCCCAGCGCCCCCAGGGCCCCTCGTCATCCTGCTCCTCCTCATCAGGCTCCAGCAGCGTCAGCCGGAACTGGGGGTTGGTCCAGAAGGTTTCTGGTAGAGGAGAAAGAAATGGGGCTACCTGGCCTGCCACAGCCCCCTCGCTTGCCTCTCAGAGTCCCCTCCAGGTCTCACCGGCAGCAGGCTGGCCCCCGCCAGAGTTGAAGCCTCGCACCCAGCGGCCTTGGAAGATGTGGATGTGCCAGCCCCCTCCCGCCGGGCTGGGGCCCAGCACCTCAGGGCTCAGCGAGCAGATCTGGACGGTGTTAAACTGCTGGAGGAAGTCCTGCAGCTCCATCCTGGACAGTGGCCTGCAGTTAGACCCTGCCCAGCCCCCAAATCACATGGCCCCCCAAATTCCTCAAGCATTGCCAATACCCTTCAGCCCACCAAACAGAATGACCCTCAACTCTCTGAGCCCTCCAACTCCTCCAGATTTCCCCAAGTCCTCAGAAATGCCCCCCAAAGAGCCAAGATCCACAGACTCCCCTCAAGCATCGTCAAATGGGTTTCAGCCCACAGACACTCAGTCACCAGCAAACACCCAGCAGCCCCTCAACAGTGCCAACCCTCAAGAAATGCCCCAGTGCTGCCAAGCCCCTCAATCACCCTCCTCACCAGAACTCTCCATCCTCCTTCTTCACCAGCAGGGCGTCTCGCCACTCGGCAGGGAGCATGTCCCAGCGTGGGCAGCTAGAGAAGCCCGGGGTGTGAGGCATGGGTGGGTTGGGCCAAACCCCCCCCACAGTACCCCAGATCTCTCTTACCTGTCACTCCAGGCCCCGGTCCACTCCACACGGCCCCATGGGTTCCGCAGCCGCAGCAGCCGCACCTTGGTGAAGCCCAGTGACACCTGAGAGCGGCGGCAGCATCAGTGGGGGTTAGCACCTGGGCACCCCTGCCAGCCCACCCCCGGGGGGTGCTCACCTTGTGCGTGCCTGTGACGGAATATGCATGGCCCCTCACCAGCCCGTCCTCTGTACGGTACTCACCCCGATCGCTCTGGGCGGAGGACAGGGAGAGGATGGTGAGGCCGTGTCGAGGGACAGGAGGGTGGCTGTTTCTCCCTGTCCCCTAACCTCCTGCCATCAAAGCAGAAGTGAACCAGAGCACCCAACTAACTGACACAGGGATCCCAGAGAGGGTGGGAGTTGGCCTGTGAAGGTGAGAAAGGAAGCACAGGGAGTTGGAGACAAAAGACAAAAAATAGATGGAAACAGGGAGACGGAGACCTAGAGACAAAGATACAGGTCAGTCCTATCTGGTGTGGCTCAGCGGATTTAACACAGGCCTGTGATCCAAAGCGTTGCAAGTTCAATTCCCAGTCAAGATACAGGCCTGGGTTGCAGGCCAGGTCCCCAGTAGGGGGCACATGAGAGGCAACCACACATTGATATTTTCTCTCCCTCTTTCTCCCTTCCCCTCTGTCTAAAAATAAATAAATACAATTAAAAAAAGAAAGAAAGAAAGATACAGGACAGAGGGATATTGAAAGAGGCAAAGAAACACAAAAGACAAAGCAAGGAACTGAGTCCAGGGCTAAGTAGATGAATGAATGGGTTAGACTGACTCACTGAATGAACAAGCATGTAGTTGGGTCACACATGAACATATGACCCAAGATGAGCCCATCAAAATCAATACTGGGCTTTCGCTGAGATTCTCAGGAAGAGGTACTTTTCTTTTTTACCTCTGGGGTGGTGGGAGGTAACTGTGCAGGGGAGGAGAGCTCTTCCCCCCGCCCCCACGTTGAGGGGAAAAGCCTCCTAAGAGTGAGGCTAATCCAGAACCAAGAATAGGAAAACTTTCACAGTGTCTGCTAAGCACCTGGATCCAGCTGTGCCTGAAGCGTGTTAGTTATGAAAGCAAATAAATATCCTTCTGACTTGCTCGTGTTTGATTTGTGAGAGAGAATCAGCCAACAGTGAAACAAAGGACACAGGATGCCTCCCCCTCCAGCTGTGACTGTGCACTCATGCCAGTGGGGGGTCTCCACAGGAGTCCAGCTCTCTCACCAGGGCAGTGGCACCCACGAGGGACTCCTTGGCCAGGGCATGGCGCAGAACCAAGAAGAGGCCTGGAATGTCTTGCCTCAGGTACAGCACCTCGCCCACACCACCTGTGAAGTCCACGAAAGCCTCATTCATGTGGCCTCCTCGCATCGCCTCGTAGGAGCCATGGAGCCTGCGGGAGCAAGTCTGGCATGGGGGGTCTGAGGCATGTACAAGCACCTCAGGATCTGGGGACCTGTGTCTCAGGGTGTGGGGTCCCAGGGCCTGTTCCTGAAATTTGCACACTCCTGAGCTGGGGGACTATGGCACACCCTGGAAGCCTTTGGACTCTGGGCCACCAGGACTGCATGATTTGGGGATCTCAGGAGAGCTCTGTCAGAAATTGGGCACCCTGGGGCTGTGTCTGGTGCTCAGTCTCTGGAGATAGATGTCTGCTGTGGGGGTAATCCCCATAGGGCTTTCGGATCCACAGGATGGGGAAAGCAAAGACTCAGGGTCCCAGGGCTTACACCCAACACTTTGGGGGTGCTTTCGGTTTCTCAGCGGATCAGGAGATTGTCTGACATTACCGTTTCCCCAAGGAGATAAATGTTAGGTTCCATGACTCTAGGGCCTGATAAGAAATTTCAGGCTCTTTAAGAATTCTGGGTGTTTGAGGGGTCTCTGAGAATGTTTTGTGTGATGCTTTGGTGGAGGAAGGTGTTTACCATTTGGAGGGCCTCAGGGGATAGTGTGACACTAGGCCCCAGGGGCTGTGACTTGGTTTAGGATCTTTAGCTGGCTGTCTAGAAGACCCCAGAAGTCAAAGGGCTCCAGGGTCCCATGGGGCTGGGGCTTCGGGATGCAGATCGGGGGAGGGGGATGGGCCCTTACTTGGCGTAGGCCTTCTCCAGAAGCGGGGCCCAGAACTCATTCCGCTGTTCTGAGCGCAGGAACATCAGCTTCCCCTCACGCACAGGTAGCTTGTCGTCCACCACGACGTCCACCCAGTGGCCGAACTGCCAGAGCTGGTGGGGGAAGGAGCAGGGCCCTGGCTCTTGGCTTCCAACCCCCACCCCTCCTGGGCCCCAACCTCTGACCCCTGGCCTTGCTGTACCTGTCCAAAATTCCAGCCCCCAGGGAGTGGTATCAGCTATGAAATTCATGTCACCTGGGGGAAACTGAGGCACAAACAGAGAGGGCCAAGCTTTACCTGGAAGTGGAAGATGCCAGCGTAGCCGTCTTGGAAACCCTGACCAGGGGGCACCACCCGGCACAGGAGCCGGGGGTACAGAGTGAGGGAAGCGGCCGCCGCAAGAAACCAGCAGTTACCTTGGAGGAAAGAAGGAGACTAAGGCCGGGCCGGAGAGAGTGCGGGGACGCTGAGGAGCGGGCAGGCGGGCCCGCGCGCACGGAGGCGGGCGCGGAGGGCAAAGGTGTCAGGGTCCCAACCGCAACTTGCAGGCTCTGAGGGCTCTAGAAGCGTTCAGTGGTCTCACCCAGACTCCCCTGACACACGTCTGTCCGGCTCATATCCTCACAGATGAACTGGGGCTCGGCACAGAATTCCTGGGGGAGACGGGGCTTCAGGACTCAGCCAAGAAGGGGCCGGAAGGAGCAGCTGAGAGGTCAGATGCCTGAGTCCCCCCTCCTGCCCTCACAGCTCCGAAGTAACGAGCGCCTCCAAAGCAATGAGAGGCTCGTAAGCCTGTGGGCAGGCGGCAGGCTTCCCAGGACCTTCGCGGACCCAGGATGGCTGAGCCTGCTCTGAGCTGGTTCCACAGTGACCCCTCCTCCCTCGGACCCAGAGCACAGCCCCCAGCCCCTCCTCCCTCAGACCCAGGATCCCAGGCCCCCAGCCCCTCCTCCCTCGGACTTAGAACACAGCCCCTAGCCCCTCCTCCCTCGGACCCAGAGCACAGCCCCCAGCCAAACTTTACATGGGGCCTCATCCATTTCACCCCTTTGGCCTTCTCTGAGTCTGGCCCTAGCTGGTCATAGCCAAGGGCATCAGGGCCAGCAGGGAAGTAGGGATCACGAAACAGGATCCCCTCGTCCAGGCAGGCTGCTCGGATTGCCTCGTAGCTCTGGCCTCTAAAAGGCTTCGGGTCCCAGGATCCAGGTCCTGCCTCTTCATCTACCAGCTGGATGGTGACCTTCCCGCTGCCACACGCCATCTGAACGCTCTGGGCTGCCCGGCCGGCCCCAGGTCCTTTAACCCCCTGAGTCACGGGGGTGGGGCTTCCGCTCCTTCTGAGTTCCGATGGGGGTCTTTAGGCAGTGAGAAGCCTTCCCTCGTTAATACTAATTGATGGTTTGGGGTGCAGGAGAGCATGGACGCCTGTTCACTGGTTTCCTCCCCAGGGCGTGGGGCCTTCAGTTGTGGCCAGGGTAGCAGCTTAATAGGCTTGGTCAGCAGCAGGAGAGAAGGAGGGCAGAGCCTAGGTAGGACAGGACCGGCTGCTGCCGTGGGGGTCCCTAGAAGGCCAGTGTGAGGGCCAGTTTCTGCAGTCTTGCCCCAGCGGGTCTCCCTCTGCAGTCCCGGGAGGGCAGTGTGCCCACTGCTGTGCCCCTCTCCCCCTCTTTCCCCCCCGACATTCCCTCTCTCTGCCTGCCAGTGTATCTCTTCTCCGTCTCGGCCTCACTCTCTCTGCCTGTCTCTCTCTTCTTCTTTCTCTGTTTTTAGCTTGTTTGTCTTTGTCTCCATCTCCCTTGTCTCTGTCCCTCCCTCTTCGTCTCCCTGTGTCTCTGTTTCTCACTGTGTCTGTCTGTCTTGTGCACACCTCGCTGTCTGTCCCTCTCCATCCTGCTCTCTGTCCTTGTAACCCTCAGTTATCCACAGTGGGGCCCTGAACCGCCTGGATCGCCTCCTCAACAAGGCGGACCTCAGCCTGGTCGCCCAGGCAGGGCTGACCACGAGAGGCGGCTCTGGGCTGGGAGCTGGGCCCACTGGTGACTCGACACCCTGCACTGCCCGCATGCAGCTCAGAGCCTGGGGGAGCAGTACTTCCCCAAAGGGATGCTGGGGCCATTGGAGGAAATGGGCAGAATCCCTTCTGAGAGGCCAGGAACTCACCGGTTTTCTTCCCAGTGCAGGTCTGCTGCCCTGGCAGGACTCTGTCACCTCTGTAGCATCCAGATGTGCCTCAGCTTTCTGGTATGTTTCCCTCCAAATGGACCAATAAATATAAAATGGGCTTTCCTCCTGTAGAATTGTCAAGACCATCCCCACCCAAGTGAGGCAGGTGACAGCGGTGGGTAGGAGCCAGAGGGCCGGGATTCGAATTCCAGCGCTACCACTCAGGTAAGTCACTTCACCTCTCTGTGCCTCAGTTTCTCATATCTATAACGGGGGCAACAATAGGACGTGCCTCAGAGCATCATTGTGAGAAGCAAATGGGTTAACATGTGGGACACGCTCAGAGCAGTGCCTGACACAGAGTAGGTGCTCCGTGAACACCAGGTGTGATGGCCAAGAGCCGAGTCCCATCCATGGCCACCCAGCCCCCCAGCCCCTGTCTCTGCCACCTCACAGTCACCTCCTCCATCCGCTACATGTTCACCTTCTCACCCCAGGAGGTCAGAGCCCTCTCCCCTTTTATCTTCCCCAAAGCACCACTAACAGCAGGAGGAAGCTTTTAATAACCCCTGACTGACGTCTTGCAGTAACCAGGAAACAACTGCTGGTGAAAACTGCCCGTCAGATCACCAGGCCTCTGGTCCGCCGCCTTCCCGCCCCTCCCCATCCTGGCCTCTGCCCCTCCCAGCTGCCTGTTGCTGCTGAGTTGCTGGGCTGTGTGGTCACATCTCACAAACATTCTCTTGATCATCACTCCCCATCAGCACCCCTTACACCCCAAATATGCCTTCCCCAGCCAGCAGAAGAAAATGCGCTGATGACTTTGTACTGGATGTCTGCTGCTTTGCGAGCCCAGCGCCCTCTACCTCTTTTTCTGGAATCAACGCCCCCATTATGTTTTAGGGACCCATCCACTTCATGCTCAAGCCAGGCGGCCCTGGTAGGGCTAGCCCCTCACCACAGCTCCAAGGAAGGACGTTTGGCCCAGACCTGCCCTTCAAAGCAGCGCACTTTCTGGCCACGCCCCTCGGCCTGTGCCAGGGAGACTCAGGGCCGGGCTTCTCTGTACCTGGGGCATTGAGGGGGGAAGGGGAGGGGAGGCAGGCCGGGAGTGGCCCAGCTCTACCGGAGAAGGAGGATGACGCGGAGCAGCGCACAGCCGGGCGATGGGGAGAGAGACAAGTGTCCCAAGAGCACAGAGCCCTCAACTCGGATGTGCTGAAATCAGACTTTTACATTAAAGGAGCCAATAAATTCTGCCTTCTCTTTTTCCCAGTTCTTTTTTTTTTAGTTAATTTTGTTTCATTTTGTTTTATGTATTTTCTCACTAGCAACCGAAAGACGCCTTCGCAATTCATTGGCATGAGTTCCGCAGCAATGCACCGGCCTGCGGGTCCCCGGCGGAGTGAGGGAGTGAGATCCGACACAGCCGCGGGGCGAGGGACCTGCCTGGTGCCGGCGTCCTGCGTTGGCGCCCCCGTCGCCGTACATAACCAACAAAGTGCAGATGTTCATCTTCACTAGGCTACGGCGGCACTTGAGCCACTAAAAAGGGGTGAGATTCCGCCTAAAACACCGTTATGGAAATGGAGAGCCCCCTCTGACTCACAGAGAGAGCAGACATTTGTTGCACAAACAACAGCGAATGCTCGCTGTTGACCGTGTTCTTGCCGTGACTGTGCACCACGCACTGTTCTAAGCACTGCACAGTGTGATCTCACTGAGTCCCCACGGGAGCCCTGAGAGGGGTCTCCGGCAGCTCTGGCTGCCACAGCAATCACCACAGCCTGGAGGCTCGCACCACAGATGCCTACTTCTCAGTTCTAGAGCCTGGGAGGGAGTCCCAGGGGGCGCTGCCAGAATGGCTGGGCTATGGGGGGCAGACTGCTGTCCCCTTGCTGCACCTTCCCATGGGAGAGCTCCGTTCTTGCTCTCCTCTCAGGGGCCCTGATGCTGTCATGGTGGCCCCACCCTCATGGCCCCACCGAAATCCAATTACCCCCCAAAGCCCTCAGATACCATCCCACTGGGGGTTAAGGCTTCAACATATGAATTGGGGGGGGGCACACTCAGTCCATAGCAAGAGGTAAGCCTCAGACGGATCTCCACTTTACAGAGGAGGAAACTGAGGCCCAGAGAAGTGTGGTGCTTTGTCCATGCCCTCACAGTTGCAGAATCAGGGTTTAAATTGAGTGGTCTGGCTTGCCTATCACAATGAATTGACTCTCAAAGGATTCAAAATATACAAAGAGCTCCTATAAATAAACAACAGTGGATCCAATAGAAAATGAGCAAAAAAAAAAAACCATGAATAAGCAATCGCAGATTGAGTGGCAAACAAACACGTGAAATCATGCTCAACATCAAAGAAATGCTAATTAAGATCATATGAAACACCATGAGGTTAGGAAGAACGTTAGGAAGTCTGAAAATGCCAAGTGTTGGCAGGGCCGTGGAGCCATGGGGCACTGGTGGGGAGGTGGAGCTTGGTGCGAACACTGTGGAAGATGGTCTGGCGTTCCTCAGTCAGTGTCTGCCCTGTGACCCAGCGATTCCACTCCCAGGAGAATGTATCCTGAAGAAATACATGAACATGCGTCCCAGGAGATGCGTGCAAAAATGTTCGTAGCAGCACACTTTGTGACAACAAAACCCTGAAAACAACTCAGATATCCACAGTCAGCCACTTGAGAGAATTCATACAAGAGAAGACAACACAGAAGTGAAAACTGGATGGACTACAGCCACAACCAGGCTGTCTTAGCAGTGTAATGTTGAGTGAAAAAAACAAGCCTCAGAAGAATACCAGTGGTGTCACCCTGTTCTTTAAAAAGTACTTATCAGCGCAAAGAATTTTAAACATAAAGCAGACAAAACAGTGCAAATCCCCCACATCCCTATCCTCAACAACTGTTAAACTCAAGCAAATCTAGCTTTACCTACGCCCTGTCCCACCCCTCTTACATCGTCCTGAAGCAAATTTCAGACACCATTTTGATTCCTCAGTAACTTTTTCAGTGTATTTCTCTAAAAATATGAAAACACAGAAAATCATAACTTGAATACCACTGCCACACCAAGAAAATTATTCACGTACAATCATCTCTTAAAATCACCAGTCTGTATTGACATTTCCGATTGTCTCATAAGTGTCATAAAAGTGTTAGCAATTTATTTGAATCACAGCCCAAATAAGGTGGATTCACTGCAATTGCCTGACATGTTTCTTAAATCTCTTCACAGCAGCGACTTCCAGTTGGTGCGCTGCAGTGGAGCGGCACACTGGCGCGCCCCGAGCATTTTCAGACCATGCAGTGTCTCACTATTTCGTCAGCAGCACGCACCTCTTTTCCCTGAAACTGTAAAATTTAAAAATGACAGCAGCCACCACAGTAATAGCCATCTAGTGTAAATGAATAAAAATTATACCTATTTTTTGTCAGATTGGCAAAAATATCATATATTTTTTGGTGTGCTACAGAATCTATAGTTTTTTTTTCTTTCAGCTTTTTTTTTTCTTTCCAATTATCTTGCTGAAGACCCAGATCGTTTCTCCTGGAGTTTCCCAGTCTGGGTCTGGTCGGCATTTTACCTCGTGACATTGAACACATGCTTCTGTCTCCTGTCATCCCTGTAAACAGAACACAAGCTCTGGGTACCTCTTCGGGCACAGGATGGTCTCTGGGCAAGATGACGTCCTAGGAAGTGCTTGGCTTCTGCACCTGGCTGCGTCTGCATTTGCGAGGTTAGCCACAGGTGCTCACCACCTCCACCCGTTGAGTCAAGATGGGGATGGCAAAATAGTGATGTTCTGTTTCTAGCATTTCACCTTCATGTAGTGGCTGGACTGTTGATTAAAGGGACTCCTCCTCACCTGCTGTTCAGTTGCCCTAAGGTATGTTTCATAAAAGAAAGAAGCTACTCTTGTGACCCTTTCCCTTTATTTACCACTTGTCAGAGCATCACTTATTTATTAAATAGTGTACATGTCAGAATTCCTTTTGTTAAAAAATTAATATTTTATTTATTTATTTTTAGAGAAAGGGGAAGAGAGGGAGGAAGAGAGGGAGAGAAACATCGATCCTCGAGAGACGGGGGACCTGGCCCTGACTGGGAATTGAACCAGTAACCTTTCACTTCAATTCCTAGGATGATGCCCAACCTACTGAGCCACACCAGTCAGGGCCAGGATGCCTTCTGAGAGCTTTCAGTACAACACACTACCTGGTAGTGAGTTTGTGTGGGGGAAAAGCTTACCTTTCTAGGCAGCTACTGATACCTTCCAAAAAGACCTGATATGAGACCGTGAGTAACCTGGCTTATGTCCACTTGCATGGGAGGCCAGTGTGCTGGAGAGTGAAGACCACACAGAGGGAGGCAGAGCTGAGACCCGACCAGCCCACCAGGCTAGAGACAAAGCAGTTGGTGATGGTTAACAGCAGGCAGGGGAAAAGGAGGCTCACAACCTGTTCTGTAAGTTTGACGCGGTCCCAGCAGGCTGGCCTTCTAGGTGCTCTGAGTTCACCTGTCACAAAAGGTGCAGTTGAGGTAAACTTGACCATATTAGTTTTTTATCCTCACCTGAGGACATTTTTTAATTTTCATTGCTTTTAGAGAGAGAGGAAGGGGGAGAGAGAGAGAGAAACATCGACTGGTTGCCTTCTTGTGTGCACCCTGGTGATCAAACCTGTAGCCTGGGCATGTACCCTAACCAGGTATCGAACCCATGACCTTCCATGGTCTATGGAATGATGCTCCAACCAACTGAGCCACACTGGCCAGGGCCTGGCCATGTTCTTGAGGTCCATATTTAGTTAGCCGTATAGCTGGCATCAGGTGACCAGCATGCTTCTGGAACTAATAACTGAATGCAGGACCATGTAGAACTCATGCTTCAGGAGCCACTCCTGACAGTGAACCATGGAGGCTGATGCACTGTTCAAACAAAGGGGGGAAGTGTCAATGGTATTTTAGCCAATGCCACATGCTACCGATTTCACCAATGACAGCCCATTTTTAACACACACTATGCTAATTATTAATAAGCCACTTAATATACAAACGAAAACCCATTTCTAACACTCAAGCTAATTAATGAAGCCTTTGGGGCTTCTCAGAGATAAGTAGTCGAAGCCCTTGCAGTAATTGCCTATTTGGCTTTTGATCAGATGCTGGCTGACTATTCTGGAATGTATATTCCAGCTCAGGGCAACCGATATCATTTAAAAAATGACACATTTTGAGGGAAAGATTTTATTTATTTATTTTTAGAGAAAGGGGATGTCTTATCTGGGAGACCGAAAAGGAGGGAGAAAGAGAGGGAGAGAAACAGTGATGTGAGAGAGAAACATCAATTGGTGGTCTCTTGTACGTGTTCCAACCAGGGACTGAACCCACAGTCCAGGCATGTGCCCTGACCTAGATGGAATGGGCAACCTTTTGCTTTGCCAGATGATGCCCAACCCGCTGAGCCACACTGGTCAGGGCTGACACATATTTATATC